ACTGCAAATTTTATTATTTCCACGATCGATTGCACATTATGTCTATCACGGATCTACAAACGCAATATGCGAATACGAATTGCAAACCTCGTCTGCAATTTTGATTTTCTATATGACTATAGGAAACATAAAGAATTAAATAAAATATATCTTATTCATATCTTATCCTCTTTTTTAAACTTTAAAAAATAATCATTTTTGTTTCACAAACTACTATTTAAATAATTTATACAAAAGTTTTGAACTTTTAAGCTGTAAYAAACAAAATATTAACTCGGAGATTTATTTTTGATTTAATACTAGGTAATTGATATTACTATATATAATTAGGTATATCAATTTAAATATATAAGATGCCTATATAACTTTAAGGTGGCTTAATTTTTTTAATAAAATTGTCATATTGTGGTTGCTGCAGCTACTGAATTTAACTGTATATTATAATGTAAATATATAATGTATAATGTATATAGAAATATTTATATGGCATGATTAAGATGAACGTTATTTAGCCAATTTTTTTCAATGTTAGTCAATTATAATTATTTTGTTCTATGTCAATTATATATTTAATATGATTGGTTATTATTTTTTTTTGTCGTATACAATTGTGATTAACAACGTGTCCAAATTTATTTAGGTACCCTATACCTACAGAAAAAAAAAACAGGAAAATAAATCGGTACAGATGTTATTCGTGGTCGACCGTGGCGTGCTATATAATATAATGAGATAATAGGACTGCGTGTGTCGATTAATTGGAAAACTATTTAATATAAGAGAGGCAACTGGCGATTTAGACAGCCGGACTTATGAATAATAACAATTATAATGATGATAATAATCTGTTTTGGTATGGTATTTCGTTTTGCATATAAACTCAAGCGTTCTTTCCCAAAAAAAAGTCTTTCGAATAAATTAAATAATAAACTTACTATAGATACATAATATTTTAATGACAAACGTTACTCATAAGTTATTTAGATAATATATATATATCATCAGTAATTGTTTTAAATGATTGTAAAACTAMGAGTATAAAATGTAAATGAATTTCCKTTTCCATCATTGATACTTTATAACTTAATAAGTTGATATCTATATACAATTGGTAATCCATATCCAAGTGTATTTTAATATATACAACAAGAACTATTATGGCATATATTGATATTGGTATAAATTATATATCAATCATCGGTTGACGATCGCGTTATCTAGGTATATCCTAATATTCTATATAAATTTRTGTATAATTTAATATTATTAATAGTAGGTACCGTATATATCGTTTTTTTCATCTCAAAATGTTTGTACATACATTCCGAAGCGTGTGATCATGTCTGCCRCGATAGTGTACCTATATTAAATCGAATAATATAACATGCGTTATTAAGTTTCTTATGAGATAAAATATATAATAAATAGTTATAAACAGGTATAGGACTCGCTAATTGAAACAAGACTTTTATGCGTGCACTGCAGGTATAATTTATAAAGTATTCTATAGATGTAGGTAAATATGAAATTATATCTATCTATATAATATKTACATAGCTACTTATAAGTTCCATATTAAATATCTATATATATATATTTAGTGAGTGGCATATAAATAGCACTCACCGCAACTCCGGGGGTTCTGCGATTCATTAGGTAATTATAGGATGTGTGGGAGAAGGGTGCAATAAAAGCTTAAGAAATTTCTTTATAGTTTCATGTTTTTATGTTATTTAATAACGAATCGTTTGACTAATTAATGCGGTTTTACAAATATGGATTTTTTTTATTATATAGCTTATAGATAGATTGGTGCATATTATATATTTATTAAATTTWCACCACCATCGTTATGTAATTTATATTTCAGTATTCTAATCATTATGAAAATCCTTAAAGTTTAATTTTTTAAATGTTCTTCACGCATTTTTTAAATTAAAGACCATACACAATATCATATTATCATCTAAAAAAAGCTATAAATACTTTAAATTGTTAAATAATTACTGTATATGTACAATCACAAGAATATTATTATATGGTTTAATAGAAATTATAATTGTAAAAAGAATAGAGATTTTAAAATAAAAAATATAAACATTTTATTATATTGCTAAATACCAATTATAGACGAGGTAACTTGGTTCCTATATATAGGTACTACTACTCTATATCCAATTGCAGTATTTTCTATATTATTTAATTTATAATATTTATTATAAGTAACTTCAATTTTAACACAGTACATTATACGTTATATTATACATTATATATAGGTATTAGTTGGTTATAATTTATAGGTAACTTATAAATATAACAATAACTTAAGTATATATCTATATTTACATTAATATATTATTTTTTCCATACATGATTACTTTGTTACGGTATGGGATACATATGTGTGTGTTTGTGTGAGTGTTTTTATTTATTTATCATTTTATACATATATTTTATTTCACCGTTGTCATTGTTGTTGTACACAGGTAATGGCAGAGTGATCGGCGCCCCGCTACGCATGCGCCGTCCAGAAGACCAATCGCCGAGCGCCGCTAGTGCCGGACTCATGATGGAGGTGGTAAGACATTCTATATAGAATCGCTTGTAGCACATATATATGTGTAATATATATATTTCGGTGACCCCCTCACCTCCAACGTACTCGATCCCGTCTTACCGTATTCAGATGTATAATCCTATAATATGATACATAAATAAAATAAAAATGAAAATAAAAATAAAAATATATATATCAGGCCAATAGGGTTGTAGTTGAAAAGTTTGTGTGATTGGATGAATGCTGAGTTAGGATTTACTGTCGTAGTTGACACAAAACCATTTAATCTGTTATATAAATATTTATAACTAATATTTTGAGAGATAATATTCGTCTATAATCTATATAGATATAAGTATATAACACTTTTCTGCATGCACCTGTAGGTTAGGGTAGGTTAGGTATAATTTATAATATATATTACTCTATTTTGTTAGTAATCCAAAACGAATATTTAACGATATTTCTAATTACTTCATAGTGACAGTGAGTATATATCTATATAATAATTATTATATTACATTCTTCAAAGTATCTTTATATACGTATCTATATATTTTTACGGTGACTGGAGGACTCTGAGGGTGAGAGGATATCAACATAATACACTTTCCAAAATCTAAAAATAACTGCTTTTAAATTAGTAACATTATATAGCCATTTAAATAGCTTTATATATAACTTTGCAAAGTCTGTAATATTGTAATRTTGTTTCCTGCAGTATATTTTTAAATTCTTTTTTTGTGTAATAGGTAAATATAGGCATAATAGCACAGAAAATATGTCCGCATAATATTGTGATGTATTGCATATGTATATATAGTATATATAGTTTAGAATTGTACGTGTATAATAGTGGTGGTCGCCATGCCGGGTCCAAATTGTGCCACGCACGACACACAGGAGGTATACTCATTACACAAATACATTAGACATCTGCTCAATTATATGCATAATATGTCTTCATGTACCTACATTTAAATATCTGCATAATACATGATGTATATTGTGATGCACATATGTATCTAACCTACTACACCGCCCACCACTGCACTGTATTATAACACTTAGATACGCGTCCAAATACGGTATTTTCGTATTGAGTTAAAATATACCTACATAAATTTTTTATCGCCGTAGGTACCACAACCTATATGCTTAGGTACTATATACACACACACCTTATTAGTTAGTATACGGTTAATTTTATGATAAATATAATGTATAGGCGCACTCTCGGTGGTTTAGTTACATAATTGTACGTTGGGGTGGAATTATACTTACCGTTGATAATTTTTTCATTTCCACTTCTATTGTGTATAACTACTCTAAATGGAATTGTTTGTTATCAAATCTATGATCGAATAAAATACATAAATATAAATTTTAATGATACCTCCGTAATTCGTGCGTGCTGCAAGGTAGGTACCTAAGTATACATAGGTATATGCAATTATTTATTATAATATTATACGTATAGATAGGTAAACATTATACGCAGCAGGCCAACA